GCTGCTGCTGCTGGATTCAACATAGAACTTGGCACCGAAGTGCAGCACTTCGAGTTGCCACGTTTCAAATAGCACACAAAGGTAGACAGGAAAATGAGTGAAGAGAATCAATAGAATTTAGATAAGTAAAAGAGTGAAACAGAATGAGTAATGGTAGAAAGGAATATCAATAAAGATTACAGAGACTGAATACATCTGCGTAAGCCATTGACAACGATTTTGAGCCATGTCACCTATTGTCTCCAGCCTTCATTGATTCTTGGAGTCCCGAGGGCGGGCCCCAACCCTGAAGTCTGCATCTCCCTCCCTACCTGACTCAGTTTAACTAACTGTCAAGGATTTCATGGATTGATGAGGCCATGTTTTTGTTTGGCATGGCACCACTTACTCTTTTCCAACCTGCACCTATATCAGCTAGTAACGGCCGTCAGGAGGGGGAGGCGATGATCAGGCATGCGCAGCATGTGGCCTAGCCTTGTCGATTGGTTTTCCCTCTTTGCCCAACACTACGCCTGACGTCAACATTGCTTACCTTATTATACCACCTAACGCGAGAAAGAGATCGTAAACATCTGTGGTCAAAAACAGACCATCTCTTCATGTCTTCCGCTCTCAATGGCCACGTCTCACCGCCATAGAGAAGGACGAAGTGAACTGCTGAGCAGTATACACGTCCCTTGGTTGACAGCCGGATGTCACGCCTACGCCAGAGATGGTGTAAGTTAGCGAAAGCAGCTCGAGCTTTTCTTGGATCCGTGCTGAGATTTCGTCACCAATCAATCCGTTGGTGCTGATACAACTTCTCAAATAGGTGAAGTGGTCAACATGTTCTATCACTTCACTTCCTATCACTAAGCTATGATTTGACGTAGTCCAGTCCTGTAGCAGCATCTTACATTTCACAAGGGCGAATCGCATGCCAAACATACGGAGATTGCTGCTCAAGGTGTTCAGAAGACTCTGCATTTTGTCAGCATCCTCCCCTAACAGGACTATGTCGTCTGCGTATTCTAAGTCTACAAGACTATTCCCTGGTAGCAAGTCGATTCCTAAGTCGTTAAGTTCAGTTAAGGATACTTCCATTAGCATATCTATGATGAAGTTAAACAGAAAAGGGGAAAGTGGACATCCTTGACGGACACCACTGGTTGTTATCAATTCAGATGACAATTCCCCATAAGCCCTTACACAGCTACGTGAGTTTGAGTAGAGTGCCTTGATTAGTGCAATGTACTTTCTTGGCACTCCCTTCACAGTCAAACATTGCCATAGTACCTTACGATCCACGGAGTCGAAAACCGCCTTCAAGTCAAGAAATATGGCAATTGTTGGACGCCTAAAAGTGTGTCTATGTTCTAGGATCTGTCGGAGAGTGAAGATATGATCTATGCACCCTCTACCTGGCCTAAAGCCCGCTTGATTTTCCCTCGTTTGTTCCTCCCGAGTTCGGCTTAGTCTGTTCATGATTACTGAGCCTAGGATTTTAGAGACTATGTTCGTTAGTCTGATTCCTCTATGATTATCACATGAGGATTTGTCTCCCTTCTTGAATACTGGTATGATAAGTGACTTGCCCCAATCTGATGGAACCGTCTCTGATTCCCAGACGTTACCTAGTACCTTAGTTAAACTATATACTAGCATGTCACCCCCATATTTAAACACCTCCGGAATAATTCCGTCGGGTCCTGCCGTTTTGCCTCTCACAGATTGCTTTGGTGACCTCACTTACAGACGGCGGGCCAGTGTCTATGTCCCATTCGGGTGTGTGCTGGATGGCGGGGAGGCTCAGTGTGGCTGTAGGCAAGTTAAACTGTTCCTCGAAGTGTCCCTTCCAGCGTTCGAGGCGTCTATCCTGAGAGCTAATTAAGGAGCCATTTTTCTCACAAATAGTCTCACTTATGATTTGCCTTCTCCCACCCGTTTCCCTGATGAGTCTAAAGAGTTGCCTAGTGTTGCCTATCGCCAGGTGATGAGTCCCCGATAGGACGAAATTCTCACCGTGATGGAATCCATTGCTTGTTACCATCTAGCAGATTACTTGTTGTTTGATCATTAAAGAGAAATAATAATCATCATCATTGTTCTTTCAATTTACGTGATAGAAAGGGGATAAACAGCTTTCAGTCAAGAATTAATTTGATGGCTAGTGACTTGCAGTGGATGGAATCCAGCAGGATGTGCATTTCATCCCATTTGGCACCCGTCAACTGAATATACCTATATTCCCTAGTGAGTTATTGATGGTGTTCCCCTCACACACACACACTGCGGCTCGAACTCAGTACCGCCTGTCATTTCAAATCAAAGCTGAGTTATAAATAAATGGCCTAAATGACACCTGTTGGCTCTGGTGTCGCAACTAGTCTACTAAATAACACTTTGGCGTTTTCAATTCCAAATTGAATTATTAACTAAAAGCTTTCAAAAATGATCACGAATAAAATTGGTGACTCGAAATGTTATCGGATATCTCCAAGAATCTTCGTCACCTCCATCTTCTCTACTGTTCACTTGAAGTCATATCTCAACCTTTTTTTATTATAGCTTGATTCCACACCGTAATTTTGGTACAAGTATGGAATCTTCAGCATGTGAAATCGGTGGTCCAAATTTTGCAGGCCGACCATTGATATCACGTGTGCGTCGGCAGGGGATCCAACCCCGGACCATTTGCTCGTGTCTCCTACCAACCTATTGGTTTTCAATATAGCAAAAATATTCATTCAGACATCTATAAAACACAAAATAATCGAGCAAAGAATATCCTTTTCGATAAATTCCTTTTCCGGCTCTACAATTATATATATGCATGTTTATATACACAGAATATTCTAGATTAGTAGTCAATAACAATATTAGTGTGTTTTTTAAATAATATGGATTTGTAAATTTTGATCAATGCTATTGTAGTTCACTAAAGATGCTGAAATTATAATAATAACAGTAATATAATAGCGAATAGAATATCAACTAAAATTAGGGAAATTCCAGAAAAATTCTGGATTACTCAAACCGCATTTCTAAGGCGCTGTGTTAGCATCTCGCTGGTGTTGTCCCCAAGGAACTGCATTTGTAAGAATAAGGCCTTTTTGGAACTGTTGGTAACTGGGACTGCTTTGGTTTCAGATTCAGATTCTTATCAATAAACTTTTCAGGATAACCATTTTCACTTAGCAACCATTTAATATTATTGAGTTCTTCACTCAGACATTCGTCCGAGGAAATGGCTCTTGCTGTATGACCCAAGCACTTTATCAGATTGCGTTTGTATTTCAAGGGCACGAAGCTGTGAAAATGTTTATACTGACCCGTTGATGTAGGTTTTCTACATACACTTCTTCTTATTGTGCCATCCTCTTTTCTGGTCATAAAGACGTCTACAAATGAAATACTAGAGTCTTTTTCTTTCTCAATAGTAAAATTTATTGCAGGATGTACCTCATTAAATTTATCCAGGATGTTCCTTGCCTCCTTTTCGTTCTTCATAATCAAAAATGTATCATCAATGTACGGACAATAGAATTCAAGTTCATTAGTAACGTCCTTCAAAGGCCCATTTTCTAGTTTCGCAAGGAAGATGTCGGCTAGAATGGGTCCTAGTGGTGACCCCATTGCCACACCATCGATTTGTCTATATAATTGCATATTAAATAAATAAATCTACTGAACCCAAACCAAGGTATTTAATGATGATGCGTTCAATGAGGCACCCGGTGGCTCTATTCATTTTGTTTGCCTCTCTCACTGATTTCATCTATTCTTGCCGATTATCTATAGTTTCTAGGTAAGAAATTTAAATATATATATATATATATATATATATATATGTATCAAGTACCATCTCATTTATACTAGTAAATCTCAAGTCCCTACCATGTATTATGGTTTATATTGTACAATTGTTTATCATTGATAATAAGAGTTTAGATCGTGGCCAGTGGGGTCTACCAGAAGGTCATCGGGTGTGAGGACAAACACTTATCACAGATGACATTGGTGACTAGTGCCAGTTGCGCTATATTGTGTGTGATTTGGCAGAAGTTGGAATTCGTAGGCTGGCTGTTGGATAGGGAGCGTCTCAGTGGCTGATGAATGGTCTACGAGCTTCGCTAGCCTTGTAACCAGAAGGTCCTGGGTTTAAACCCCTGTGTTGGGTGGGTGCGCCCTGTGAAGAGCCCCAAAATAGGATGAAACATCTAGCTGTTCACCTAGCTGTCTGTTTCTTGATAGGTGTGTTGTGGAGATGTGGTCCACTGACTAGATCTAGTCGAATTTCAGCCCATAGTTCCTCATCTATTTCAACCTGTCTAATTGTGAATGGTATTATGAGGCCTTCCTTCACCGAGTCACTGGGTTGGTGTTAGCTGATACAACAGCCTATCTGAGTGAAAAGTGTGTCCAAATCAGCAACCAGCATGTATACTGTGCCGACCGAAAGCTGCTACCTTGACGTGGTGGTCGGGCTTGAACACCGCAATGACCCTACAAGCTATAACTGGCTCTGACTTAATTCGCTTGAGGTCCTACCATGCCAGAAAAGTTTTTGGATAGCAGTTAGACAAAAAGCAACTACCCAATCCAATACTATGATTCAAACAAATTCACAAAATATCATGCCGGATCGGTCGGGGCCCGGATTAACAACGACGGCGCTTCCTGCTGCTGTGTCACAGGGCAGAAGTGATAAATATGCTTCTGAGACACATGAAACAAAAACAGGCCGCGTGTGACTGGCCTCAAGCAGTTGTTCCCTGGGCTCTGCGGTCACGCAACACTCTTTCTGTTTTAGGTTCCCGAAGAATCAATCAACTTCCACGGTGGGGGCAGCCGGGAAGTAACAACCGCCCACACACTTCCAAAAGCACATGAAGCCTCCCTGAGCCTCACTCTCCCTTACTCACGCCCTGGTTTGGTTTTTCAATTATTCTCTAACTAATGTCACCTGACGATGAAATCCTGTAATAAATCTTTTTATTTATTTATTTTTTCAATTGCAGATTGATCCTGTTGAAATGATAATCAATTCTCGTGAATTCAACAGATCTATTCTTCTCTTTATCATAATCATTTATGTTAATTATGCTATACATAAAGTAACTGCTGAAAGTATTCAACAATCATCATTAACCTCATTACAAAACTCTAAATTCAAGTATTATTCAAGTAATACTATTGATCATGATAATGTTGACTTGATAAATGAAAAAGTCAATGCACCTCCATTCCTGCCGAATACGGATAGTTTAAAATCATGTGAATGTTGGAAATGGCCAAGTTGTGTTACTAATTGTACCTCCGGTAAGTATCTTCATTATTATTATTATTATTATACCTGACTTTTCTGTTTGATTCAAATTTTGTTAAATAAGCTCTTCTTGACACAAAATGAGTCCTGATTATTATTATTATTGTTTCCTTTAATTCCTAGAGGAATATAGGGCTTCGGCCGTGCGTCTCCATTGCGTTCGGTTCTCTGCTAGAGTCTTTACCTGGCTCCAAGTCTGTCCACACGTTTTCATCTCCTCTTCACATGACCTCCTCCTCCTCCATGTCACCCTTGCACTGACGACCAACTCGCCGCTTCCCGTTCGGCCGGGTTCCACTCGAGCAATGGCTTGTCTAGTGATGTTACTTGATGGTTTCCTCAGAGTATGGCCAATCCATCTCCATCTGCATATTTGTTTCACAATCGATTCCTGGTTTGTTCGCTCCCAGAGATCTCTGTTGCCGATCTTTTCTGGCTGTTCATCTGATCTTGAGTAGTATTGAGCGAAGACAACTGTTGATTGATGAAGGTCTGTAGTTTGTTTGAGATGCTCTTTATGACGCGCCAAGTCTCTGATCCGTATATGAAGTAGCACTGACTTCACATTGGAGTTGAAAATACGCATCTTATTTTTGATGCTGAGTGCTGTTGACCTCCACACAGACTTGAGAGTAGTGCAAGCTTGTCTTGCTTTTCCGATTCTTGCTTTGATATCCTCGTCAGTTCCATCCTCCTGTAGTTGAAACGATGCTTCCCAGGTAGGTAGGTGGGTAAAGGAAGTTGTTTATTTCAGGTTCCTCCCATTTATACTGATTGTTGTCTGTTGCTGTTTCTGTTGGCCAGGAATCTTCATCACCCAACTCTGTTTTCTCTATGTTCACCTGAAGTCCTATCTTTGATGCTCGCCTTTTCCGCCAACTTGTTGCTTTTCGCTTGCATATCTTCCAGCATTTGTGGGAAGTCAGACATACACCGCATCGGCGAAGTCCAGATCTTCCAAGTTTTTTGTGTGAGTCCATTTTATGCCTGTTTCATCATTGCCCGCTCTCTGTTTGTCGCATTATCCAGCCCTGAGCTGGCTGTTAACTGCCTGCATTCTTATTCCCAGAACAGAAAGCAGTATCCTGTATGTAAGGGGAAATCTTCCTCTGCCTTGCTTATTACTGAAGCCCCTAACACTCAATGTGCTATTCTCTGTGCCTTTTCTTCTTCTTCTTCTTTATTTCTTCTTACATGACACTTGCTACTTTTGGAAGATTTTAACTTCATAGAATATGCTGATAGACTCGGTGTCTCGTTGCCAGTCACTGTCGGACATAATCCAATCATGTAAACCGGCTGGTTTCATGTTATATCCCTCCAAATGTCAGACATTAACGTCGTTTAGACGAACTTATCCGTTAGCAAGATCCTATTAGCTTAAGGGTTACTGTAATCGAATCTGAGTCAAGCATAAAATACCCTGGAATAGTTCTATGCTCCAACCTTTCTCGGTCATCCCGTATGCAAGCAGTAACTTCACAGTATGGCTTCCTAAATGACTTCAGAAGCCATCTCCAGAATCTTCAGAACACATTGATGCTGAGAACAGACGGCCTAGCTGCTCTATTGCGTAAAAACATAATATAGAGATGGGACATAAAATTGATATTCACACACGTCTTTTGAATCTGTCTATAAAACGTATTTGAGGCATATCCTAAAATTTGTGCGTTCACCAAAAAAAATTCGTCATCACGCTAAACCTTCCTTGATAAATTTCTTTGTTTTAATTGATACCAGGGCAGACGTACTATAAAAAAGTATACCTCATCAGTGGGATTCCCTTGAATATGAAGGATATGCTACCATTGCTGGCTTCATCAATGTGTACCTCTTAGAGTGAGACACTGAACTTCACCTTTGGGCATAAACCTAATCGTTCATAAGATGCTCGTAGCATAGACGACACTAAAATATAAACTGAGTCAAACATTAAATACCTTGGAATAGTTTTATCCTCTCACCTTTCTTGGTTGTTCCATATCTTGTTGTCGATTTCTAATAAAATATTTCGTCTCACAACCTTCTACAATAAGAAGTTCAGAGAATCAGGAATCGCTCAACCTCCTTCTAGCTTAACTTTATTTTGTTAACTCTTACATCTTATCTATGATTATCTACTGCTCTCCCTCCCCTTAGTCTTACCTGGGCTACTCACTCAAAAAGGAATATGTCATATTGTGAAGGATATTCAAGGTTGTCAGTAGGACAAGTAGTGTACCGCTTGTAAGTCGACAGAAAACGTGAACTCATTTGAGTAATGGTTTAAATCCTTCTTGTTTAACTCTCACAGCGCCGTCTCTATTCACACAATTTTTCCACTTCCAATTGAATCGCATCCTGGAGGACTAGAAGTCATTATAAAAGATTATCTACTCCCTCGAACAACTAATTATAGAAACTTAACGATACCGTATTTGTCCCTCCCGCGTTCTATGTGATAGAGGCACTCACTGTTAAGCGTGAAACTTATAACAAGTTACTATTTAGTTAGCAAAGTAAATGGCTCTCTTTTTTATACTCCTATCTGCTTAGCAGTCCGCTCCATCCTCCCTTATGGCTGGAAGACCTGGCCATTGAGAGCGGAAGACATGAAAAGCTTGACTAGGTATCTTTGATCATAGGTGTCTGCGTTCTATCTCTCGTGTTAAGTGGTATAATAAGGTGAGCAATATTGAGGTGAGGGATCGGTCGAGTGCTAGGTAGGTAAGGGGGTGAATCAGTCGACAAGGTTGTGAAGTTCCACCGATTGAGATGGTTAGGACATGTGTTACACACGCATGCCTAGTCATGGCCTTCCTCGACAATGGGCAATGTTAGCTGATATAGGGCCAGGCTGGAAAAGAGATAGCGGCGGTCAAACCAAAACATGGCACCAGTCAATGAAATCTACAACAGTTAGTCTTAGCCACGTAGGAAGGTGTAGACTTCCTGGTTGGAGTCCTCGGGACAGTAAAAAGCAATGGTTGGAAACAATTGGTGACATGGCTCAAAATCGTTCTCAATGGCTAGAGTAGATGCATGCACTCCTTGTGACTTATGATTTCCAATGAAACTGTTTTGATCTTGGTTATTACCATACCTTTGTCTCACACCTCTGTTTAGTGTTTCTATTATGCATTTCTCCTACTTTCTTCTCTTACTTTGTGTGCTACATGGAGGGAGTGTAGCAACTTGAACTGCTGCACATATGTGCTAAGTTCTATGTCGAAAACTGACCGACTGACCCACATGACACTTGCTACTTTAAGGCGATTTCAACTTCATAGAATATGCTGATAGTCTCGGTGTCTCGTTGCTAGTCACTACCGGATATAAGCCAGCCGTTTCAGCTGGCTGGTTTCACGTTAAATCCCTCTAAATGTCAGACATAAACGTCGTCTAGACGAACTTATTCGTTAGCAAAATACTTTTAGCATGAAGGCCACTGTAATAGAAACTAAGTAAAGCATAAAATACTCTGGAATAGTTCTATCTTCCAACCTTTCTTGACCATTCCATATACAAACAGGAACTTCAGAGCATGGCTTCTTAAATGACTTCAGAAGTGAATCAAATCTCCAGAACCCATTAATGGTGAGAACAGACGACCTAGCAGGTCTATTGCACAATAACATAATATAGAGATAGGACATGAAATTGATGTTTACACACGTCTTTTAAACCTATCTATAAAACGTGATTGAGACATATCCTTGGACAATTAGGAAGATTGAACCACCTTTATGCGTTCATCAAAAACAATTCGTCATTACGCTAAACCTTCCTTGATAAATTTCTTTGTTTTGATTGATACCAGGGCAGATGTACTATAAAAACGTATGCTTCATCAATGTGATTCCCTAGAATATGAAGGATAAGCTACCATTGCTGGCTTCATCAGTGTGTAGCTCTTAGTGTCAGGCACTTAACTCCACCTTTGAGCATAAATCTAATCGTATATAAGATGCTCGTAGCATAGACGACACTGAAATAGGAACTAAGTCAAGTATTAAACACCTTGGAATAGTTGTATCCTCTGTCCTTTCGAGGTCATTCCATATCTTGTTGTCGATTTCTAAGAAAATATTTCGTCTAATCACTGTCTACATCAAGAAGTTCAGAGAATTAGGAATCACTTAGCCTCTGTCCACTTTTACTTTACTTTGTTAACTCTTCCATCTTATCTATGGTTCTGTATTGCTCTCCTTTAGTCTTTCTTGCGTATTCAATCAAGGTTGTCAGTAGGATAAGTAGTGTGGCACCAGTAAGTCGACAGAAAACCTGAACTTATGCAAGAAATGCTCTAAATTTATATTGTCTAACTCTGTCAACACCTTCTTTATCCATACAACTTTACCCCTCCCCGTTGAATCTCATCAAGGAGGACTGACTATAAGTCATTATAAAAAATTATATACTCACTTGCATAACTAAGTATAAAAACTCAACGATAATCTAATTGTCCCTTCCGCGTTCTATGTGATAGAGACACTCACAGTTAAGCGTGAAACCTATTACAAGTTACTATGTAATTAGTAAGGTAAATGGCTCTCTTTTTGTACTCCTATCTGCTTAGCAGTCCGCTCCGTTCTCCCTTATGGCTGTAAGACCTGGCCATTGAGAGTGGAAGACATGAAAAGACTAGCTGTCTTTGATCATAGGTGCCTGCGTTCTATCTCCCGTGCAAAGTCGTATAATAGGTTGAGCAATATTGAGGTTAGGCTTCGGTCGAGTGCTAGGTAGGTGGGAGGGGAAATCAATCGACGAGGCTGTGAAGTGAAATCGACTGAGAGAGATGGTTAGGACATGTGTTGCGTGTGCCTAACCATCGCCTTCCTTGACGGATAATTTTAGCTGACATAGGATCAGGTTGGAAAAGAGCCAATGATGGTCAAACCAAAGCCTGGCTTCATCGGTCAATGAAATCTGCTACAGTTAGTTTAAGCCAGCTACATAGAAGGGTGTAGTCTTCCTAACTGGTTGGAGTCCTCAGGACGGTAAACACCAA